GTTTTTTTAATAGATATGCTATGGTTTTTTGAGTTGCAATGGTGGAAAACATGGGACAGTGTTTTTATTGTGTTCTATATGAAACATTTTCCTAGATTCGTAACTCGGACAAAGGCAACTGGGCAGTATGTTTCAGCCCACTTCTAAACAAGAAAAGGCCTACAAGTGTATGCAGGCATGACATCAGAAGATGCCATGGACTATGACAAGTTAAAAGTGGTGTTGCTGAAACACTATGAAATTAACAAGGAAGGTTTTCGTTAGAAATTCAGAGAAGTCAAACCTGACACCGGAGAAACCGTATTTCAGATTGTGATACTTCTACAGTGATACTTGACAAGATAGACTGACATGGCTAAGTGTAAAGATAGTTTTGAAGGACTGGCAGATCTACTAATACATGAATAGTTCATGATCATGTGCTCAACTGACATGTTACTGTTCCTATAGGAAAGAACACCAAATGATGTGGACGAGATGATCAAGCTGACAGAATAGTATATGGAAGCCCTTGAAGGGAATATAGCTAGTAAGTCCAAGAATAACCAGTTAAAGTTAAAACCAGTGGTGGCTGACCAGAAACAGGATACCACCAAAGGTGAGAAGAAATTAACAGACAGAAGGGAGAAGAGATGCTATGCATTTTAGAAAATGATGCACATTTCGAATGTCCAGTCTGTCACCAACAAGCAACAGCAGAAATTTCAACATAAAACAGCTGGAGCTACTTACAGAGATGGTGCTGGCAAGAAAAAAGAAAAGAGTGAATGTCACCACAGATGCTGCTGTCAGAAAAAACAGAATACAGACGACTCATCAGTGTCACCAAAAGAAGGAAGTGCTATCTCCATGATTGAACAGTGCATGACTAATGGTCACCTCAAGTTAGCAAATGGGTCAATAGTACCAGTGGTGATTGGAGCATGTGACAAACATTGAGAGGTGCCAACAAATCACATGTCAGTAGGTGAAGGCTATGTTAGGGACAAGAAAGTGAAGGTCTACAAGACACTGGGTGTAATAGTTCAGCATTGAGAACTAGTCCAGTATCTGATAACCAAATGATGGGCAAGGTACATCTTTGTGCTGATTGATGGGATAATGAGAATGTTTTCCAAAGCAAGAATAAAAGTAGACACTCCATATTATGTGGGAGACCTTGAGACCATGTGTATGAAGGAACAAACACACAGTAAAGAAGACTAAAAGACATGGAAAAATAATTAAAAAAGTGTTTGATAATGGTGAAACACATGTCTATATCAAAAATTTTATTATTTTTTGCAATGTTTCAGACGGAAGTCCTTCGTCAGGCTTTTTTTCTATGTAACACGGTTTAAACAGTATAGTTTTTGTCATAGATGTGTGTTTTTTTTCATGTGTATGAAGGCATTCATCTACAACTTGATGATTGACAGTAGAAGTTTGGAAGAACTAGACAGAAAAACAAATGAAGCATCTGTAGTCACCACTAGAGCTCAAGAAAAGAGAAGCAAACAAGATGCCAAACTCTGCAAGTCTTGAAAAGTTACATCTCAAATGTAGGTTTATGGGAGCTGAAGAAAGCGTAGAAGAAAGACCCTTCACTGTAAAAACTTTGGAACAATGCCCAGGAAAAAGTTGAGCACAAGATAAATGAGAAAGGGACTAGCAGAATAGAAGAATGTAAGGGAGTGCTCTACCAGATATATCAAGGCAGTTATACTGACCAAAAGAAGGCTTAGTTACATTATTTACTACAACTGAAGAAATATAATATTCTCAATGAAAGACAATATTTGAATATCAGACCATCAGGGTGTCATCCTGGAAATTTTTTAAGGGTTACCAAAAATTCACAAAGAAGGATGCCCTTTGTGGCCTATTGTATCAAATATTGAAACTCGCAACTATGCTTTGGCAAATTTTTTTGGTAGAATTTTTGAAGAAATTCACCACAAATGAATACACCATGAAAAACAGTTTTACGTTTTATCGTCAAATACAACAGCTGAAGTTTGACAGTAACATTCATTCTGCCAATTTTGACATTAAATCATTAGAAGAGACCATACAGCTGAGTACTGATTTTATTTACAGTGACAATTCCAATAAAGCAAACATTGCAAAATCAGTTCTTTTGAAATTAATTAACTTTGCCAATAAAGAGTCTCATATTTTTTTTAATGAAAACCAAGCAACAGTTAGTATAATTATGTTATCTCAGAATTTTCTGAAACCATTCTGTACTTCAGAAATTTAGATATGACTCCCAAAAATATCAATAGTCTGTTGCTTATTATGCATGAAAAATGTTTGCTTAAAGAACTGGTCACACTGATTGGTGGGTAAATATCCAGTGTATTAGATGGTTTTTCCTTCCTTATAAAACAAGTCAATAGTTCTAAACAATTCAAGACTATTCCCTTTATCTGATTGAGAAATAACAATACTATTATTTTTACTAAGATTTTTTAAGGCTTCAGATTCTTCTGAACTTCATTGTAAGAAGTGTTTGTGATCAGGTTAATGGTGTTGCCATGTGTTCAAAATTGGTGCTATCTGGTGTCAATTTGTTTGGATGAGATTAAACCACTCTACTATCTCAGATGACACCTTCACCATTTCCAAAAATTCTGATCAAGCTCCCAATTCTTACAATATCTGAACAGCAGACACAGCAGTATGAAATTTAGTATAGAAAATCAGAAGGATCATAAACTTCCATTATTGAACACTATCATCAGTAAGAACAATGGAAAAAAATAATGTTAAATGTATCACAAAAAATTTCCACAGACTTGTATCTTAAATTTGCTAGATTTATTCTAAGTATTTTTAAATAAAATTTAGTTAAAATATGTTTTCACCTAATTACGTAGTATATAGTATGTATGAGGTTTTACATGAAAAATTTATGAATATCCAAGACTTCTTGTGTAATAGTAATTTTCCAGGTTATGTTATCAATAGAATACTTTGTTGTTATTTAAATAGATGTAGTGTTGATATACCTTATTTCCCTGAAAGGAGACTGAAGGTTGCCTGGAAGGGTCACTTGTTTTAACCAACCACACTACTATACAGTAGTGTGTTGTCAGTCAGTCAGTAGACACTCAAATGATGTAACATATGGGATGCTTAACATTTTAATTTGTACTGTCGTGACGTCAGTAAAATGTGCACATGCCGTGAAGATATATAATATATGAACTTCAAAAGCAAGAAAGAATACACTTGTTACTCTCTATTTTTTTCATTTACTCTTGAAACAGAACACTTTGGGGGACCTTGCAGAAGTACATCTAGTATTATAGATGTTCTTAAATACCTTTTGGTTATTAGTCTACCCTATATGTGTAAATACTCTTTGATTATCAAGAATCAGCTGAAAAACATCATTCGCAGGGTATACCTGCAGGTACAGTTGAGGTGTGAATTCAAGGACTAAATTTCTACTTTACAATTGTATTTTGTTGTTTATAAATTCACTTGTTCTTGCTGTCAGTATAGTTACATTGGTTCTACTACATGTGAAAGAATGTGTTAACCTAAGGTTACCAGTTAAGTCTAATATACTTGTACATGCTCTAGGCAAATGTGACATTCTAGTCCATTTCAATTTGTTTATGATTTTGGCCTGGGCCAATGATGAACAAAAGCCTCTGCATAACGAGCTTGCACATTTACAAGCTGAGGCCCAAAATTAATGTTCTTAGTTCTGGATGTACTTTACTATTGAAGTTATGAAAATGTAGGGAATATAGTATCTTAGATAAAATCTTTTTGTCTGTCTTAATATTTTCTCAGTAGGGCACAAAGTTCGTTTGTACATCTAGATTTAATACTTGTTGTACTTTTTATCCATTTTCCTTCAACGTAAGATAAATTTTCAAACAATTTATATCTGAACCTGGGGAAATTTTGGTTTAGTTTTTTCCTCATTTTGCCTCACTATAACAAAGAGATAATAAGAAAAAAATAATATCACAGATTTCCTAGCGTCTTTGGATTTTACTCATTTCTATTAAACATTATTGTTATCATTACCTGAAAAGTATAATAGCTGTTGCTATGTCATAAACCAACAGTTTCAGCTGTCTCGCATCCAACAGAATTGCATTCTATCAACAGCAATCACATTGAAAATCAAAAAGATATTGTGCTTTTTTAATGAAAATGCATTGTAAGAAATTCTATATTAATATGAATTTTTGACAATTTAACATTAAGTAATCATTTAATTGCTCTTGAAGAAATGGATTTGTAATATTAGGTATTCTGTTTTAAAGTATTGGCAAATGTTTCTTATGTCAGTAAATGGTATCTTTTAATTTTCTACAGCAGTAGTAATGCTAGTACTCACCATCAAGCTCAGCGGCATTTACATGTGCCAGATCTAAGCATTCTCCAGCAGAAACTAGCTCAGCTAACAGTAGTGCCACCACATGGCTACCCAGGAACCCCAGCATCAGAGTTTACATCAATTAAAAATCAACAGACTGCTGTTTCACCACAGACTCTGTTTACTTCTTCGTTTCAGAATCTACCACCAAGAGTTTATTCAATATCAACTTCGGTGAATAATGCTTGAAAGTTTGTAAAAACTTAAATATGTATGGTGGATTGTGTGCAAAGTAACTCGAATGTCTAAAAAAAAATCAATTGTTAGCTGATGGTGTCTGTAGAACGTATTTGTTTTAGTAAATTGTATTAAATATGCATGAAAATAAAATTGTAACTTTATATTCCTCACGAAAGATTTTAGAAAGAAACTGAAGCTATTTATTAGTGATTCACTAATTAATAATAATATTATTGGTATTTATTAAAATGATCTTAGATAGTATTTAAATGTATTTATGTATAACTTAATGGTTAGTAATCTAAGAAATTTACTATGATATATACACAATAAGTACTAAGACAAAGCTTTAAAATAGATACTAACAACTTAATCATTGCCATATATGTAACCTAAAATAGAAGTTTAATGAGATATATACATCAAATATGTACTGGTTCCTAGTCTAGGTTAGAAGCTTTCTAGAATATAATCAACATATAATTAGATAATTAGTAGTCTAGGACCATTTTCTTTTTAGTTAACAACTTTAAACCGATGT